AAACTCGCGAACAGATGGATGAGACCTTACAAAGTGGTTGAGGCACTCGACTGGGGTGCATATATGATAGCAGAGTTAGACGGGTCTAAGTGGAAGGACCCAGTGGCGGGTGCCAGGTTAAAGTTGTTTAGGCCCAGGCCTGGGACCGCCTTGTCGCTAGCCGACCCAAAGGGGAAAGGAAAGGCTAAGATAGAAGACGGAACTCCCCCGAGGCGATATGAGGAAGGAGAGAGTTCCAAGAAGAGGAAAAGGGTGAAAGAAAGGAAGGTCAAAGGGTTAGCTCAAGGAAGGAAGAAGAAATGGCTATTCGTGCTTAAGAGGGCCAAACGAAGAGTCCGCATTAAACAAACTGACGGGACGGCACCCTTCTCGGGCCGACGACAGGAGAAAGGGAGGATCCTACCAAGGCGTAGAACCCGGCGGGGAAGGAAAGTCAAAAATCACCTACTTAGCCCTAGAACTCAAAACAAACTAAAACATAAGACAACTGAACGCCGACGTGGGCGTCCTATACGGACAATCTCCCTGAAGTTCGTCCGCTTCGTCTGACGAAAGTGGTTAGGGCTCGACGGGGGCGTCGAGAAGTGGTCCGGGCTGACTGTCAGGCGGCCACAAGTAGTGCGCTGCCTGAAAGTGGCAGCTTTGGAACTTAGGCACAAGGACAAGTCCGTGTAATGACGGTATTCTGGTTTGATCAGGCAGCAAAATTAGGGGGACCCAGAGCACCCCTAAGATTGGAGGTGTCGACCGTTGAGAGAGGCCCTCAAGATTGACAAGAGGGACTACCGCTTCAACCGCGCCGACGCTCCCCTCTTTTTTCGCCTGCTCCAAGGCTATTTCCGATATGGCAAGCTGTGGGACGGTAATATGGGAGTAGACCTTGCCATGACTCTTCTACATCAGCCTATCGATGGAGAGATGGAGCCACGAATTTTGATAATTCCAAGGATAGAATTAAAATTAAGGAGAAAATAATTAAAAATAATAAGAGAAGGGAAAACAAAGGAATTTTCGCTATTTAATTGAACTCCCTCAGAATTYATTTTTGATAAAAATACGTTTATTTTTATTATTTTCGCTAATAGAATTAAGAAATAAGGAAAATAATTAAAAATGATAAGAGAAAAGAAAACCAACGATTATTTAATATTTAATAAAATTTTATTTGAGTCATTTGCGATCGGATTTACTCCCGGATTATTTATTTACTCTAAATCTAACGATTTTTTCTAATTCCCGGTRATCGSGATCATTTGCGTGGGTTACCTAACTTAGCCTCGCTGCAACCTGTGTGAGATGAGTAGGTGTGCGTTTGATGATCGACGCAGTTTCGTTACTGGGATTATTTTGAGATGGATCGTGTGGCCTTACTATACTTTGGTTTGGTTCGGGCCCGACAGTCAGAGGCTTGGGTCAGGTTCGGGACTATTATGACACGGCTGCACGGTCCGGCGTTGACACGATGCAGCGGACTGRTATTAGTTTTCARGATCGGGACAGACTCGACGCCGGTATGGTGCAGACTATTCAGGTTCGGTATTGGCATGGTAATGGTTTGATACTCCTGAGAGGCCGCGATATTGCACACTATCAACACTTTCAGGCTCTGTATTGGTTCGGCAACGGTATCGTGCACGCCTTTGCATTATTTTCAGATATTGTTTCAACGGTACTACAGGTTCAGTATTGAACCATCCCTGACAACGGTGCGGCCATTTGTTTGGTGTTGACGTGACGRCACTGCAYGGTATTCCGGACTGGTAAGGTACAGTTGCCGGTCCGGAACAAGGATGGTACACAGGTCCTGGACAGGTACAACTCTCTGCAGTTTGATACGGTTACTTCTGATACGGTTGCTGACTCGACAYAGTCACGAGACAGAGASTGAACGCCACGGCTACTATTTCCTGRCACGACATTCGGGGCCGCTGTTGATCGCTCCAGTCGGATGCTGTTGTTTGGACACAAATTTGGCTTCAGGGCAACTTCGTCGCGACACTAAGATTACTGTTTCGGTAGCTGCCTTGGGTCTGGTACGACTCAAGGCGGATCGGTACTATTAATATTGTTGTGACAGTYTTATTATTTCTGGTGCGCTTGCTGGATCGGAACTTAAATAAGCTTGACGCTGTCCTACTTGGAGCAGTATTTGGCTGGTCCAGCCGCGTTAATCCTCGGACCAGGCGGTACCGGTTTAGAACAATCGGGCTACGCAATTTTGATATGACTGCTGGTTYGGAAACCCGGACCTAAGACCCTGGCCCCAATTGCGCAGTTGGTGGAGCCCGTCCTCAATTATGCTTGGGMCGATTGCGGTGGGACTTTTCCCTTAGCTCGAAGTCACTGCTGTGGGGGAGCAATATAGAAGGGACCCGTGAGACCGAAGGGGGAAGGGCGTACCAGGCGTACTCARTCCACATTGAAGGCGGCCTAAGAAGCGCCGTACTGATGGCGACCGGGACAGCGTGATTGGACGTCGTGAATAGGAGCGTGCTGATAGATTGGCGCGCCCTGTGATCGCAAATCTATCTGGCTACATCTGCAGTTCATATCCACGCCGAGTTCAGGGCATGAACCTGGCCACTTATGCGAACTGAATTCGAAGAGGTAATTCGAGGGCTGATCTGCCTGCATTTGTTGTTTACATTCATGCCGAGTTCAGGGCATGAACCTGCCCACTTATGTGAACTGAATTCGAAGAGGTAACTCGAGGACTGATCTGCCTGCATTTGC